CTCTAGTTCTGTTCTTGTTCTATTCTAGTTCTGTTCTAGTTATGTTCTAGTTCAGTTCTAGTTCAGTTCTAGTTCAATTCTAGTTCAATTCTAGTTCAGTTCTAGTTCAGTTCTAGTTCAGTTCTAGTTCAGTTCTAGTTCAGTTCTAGTTCAGTTCTAGTTCAGTTCTAGTTCAGTTCTAGTTCAGTTTCAGTTCCAGTCCAGTTCTAGTTCAGTTCTAGTTCAGTTCTAGTTCTGTTCTAGTTCTGTTCTAGTTCTGTTCTAGTTCTGTTCTAGTTCTGTTCTGTTCTAGTTCAGTTCTAGTTCAGTTCTAGTTCAGTTCTAGTTCAGTTCTAGTTCAGTTCTAGTTCAGTTCTAGTTCAGTTCTAGTTCAGTTCTAGTTCAGTTCTAGTTCAGTTCTAGTTCAGTTCTAGTTCAGTTCCAGTTCAGTTCTAGTTCAGTTCGATCAACTTTTTTATAGAAGAGTGTTTTGATACGAAAATTTGCTCTAAAAGCTTTTATAGATGTCACCAATTACCTTCTTTCTTGTATGAAGAACTTTTTTAGGGGAAACCTGTTTTTGACACTTGTTGTAAATTAAATTGATTTTCTCAAAAATATGAAAAAAGCTGGATGAAATAATTACCTTATTTTAATCTAACTTTGTAATACTTATGTAAAGAGACAACTTTGTTTGTTTTGGGTAACCATGGTTTTGACATTTGTTTTAAAATTTCCTGCCTTTCATGTTTATTGATGCTTTAAAAAATAAACTTTTTAGACGCCTTTAAGTATACTATACATATTAAGTATGCCATTTATAATTTTTATTGATGTTTTGTAACATTTAACAAATAATTGCTATCATAAATTTTATAAATTAAACTATTAAGGTAAATTTTCAACTTAATTAAAGTTTATATTCATTATTATTATTATTATTATGATTATTTTACTTCCGCTGATTTCCGCATTTAACGCAAAATTGAGACATTTTCAGCATAAATTTTACATACATGTGGGTAATTAAATTAATTCATGTTTTTATAACTTTTTTTTTTTTTTGGTTTACAGCAAACTGTTACAAAAAAATGTGCTCTGAACGTCATTTTCAACATTGAATGAAATTTTGTTTGTGAACTTCAACTTCTGACACGTAACGGAAATTAAACCACTTTGAAAAAAACGTTTGGTTTAAAAATACAAAAAACGCATTTCCGTTTTATATTATGACCTCTATTACCAATAAAATTATTGTTCCTTTTTTGTATTTTGGCTTCAGTTTGCGTTGCCTTAAAAGGGAGTTTTTATTTAAATTAGCTAAATGTCAAATTTTATTGAATTTTAAATTTTTAAAAGGTAAATTGAATTTTTATTACATTAATTAGGTAATTTGAAAGCTAAATTGTATTAAATTTCGATTTTTATTACAAAACACTTGCCGAAATGGGGAACAACTTAAACAGGAAAACTAAATGTTGTTACGACAATCATGTCAACTTTCACAAACAAGTTTTATAAGTGAAGAAATAATATTTCGATTATGTAAATCAAACATTTTATGTCGAAACTCTATATATTCTAGTATATAGTCTAGTCAATAGTCTATAGTCTAGACTACAGTCTAGGCTATAGTCTAGTCTAGTCTATAGTATAGTCTATAATCTTGTCTAGTCTATAGTCTATAGTCTAGTCTATATTCTAGTCTATAGTTTAGTCTATAGTCTAGTCTATAGTCTAGTCTATAGTCTAGTCTATAGTCTAGTCTATAGTCTAGTCTAAAGTCTAGTCTATAGTCTAGTCTATAGTCTAGTCTGTAGTCTAGTCTATAGTCTAGTCTATAGTCTAGTCTATAGTGTAGTCTATAGTCTAGTCTATAGTCTAGTCTAGTTTATAGTCTAGTCTAGTTTATAGTCTATAGTCTAGTCTAGTCTAGTCTATAGTCTAGTCAAGTCTAGTCTATAGTCTATAGTCTAGTCTATAGTCTAGTCTATAGTCTAGTCTATAGTCTAGTCTAGTCTAGTCTATAGTCTAGTCTAGTCTATAGTCTAGTCTATAGTCTAGTCTATAGTCTAGTCTATAGTCTAGTCTAGTCTAATCTATAGTCTAGTCTATAGTCTAGTCTATAGTCTAATCTTTAGTCTAGTCTATAGTATAGTCTATAGTCGAATCTATAGTCTAGTCTATAGTCTAGTCTATAGTCTAGTCTATAGTCTAGTCTATAGTCTAGTCTATAGTCTAGTCTATAGTCTAGTCTATAGTCTAGTCTATAGTCTAGTCTATAGTCTAGTCTATAGTATAGTCTATAGTCTAGTCTATAGTCTGGTCTATAGTCTAGTCTATAGTCTAGTCTATAGTCTAGTCTAGTCTATAGTCTAGTCTATAGTTTAGTCTTAAGTCTAGTCTATAGTCTAGTGTATAGCCAAGTGTATAGCCTAGTCCAAAGTGTAGTCTATAGTTTAGTCTATAGTCTAGTCTAAAGTCTAGTCTATGGTCTAGTCTAAAGTCTATTCTATAGTCTAGCCTAGTCTAAAGTCTAGTCTATAGTCTAGCCTAGTCTATAGTCTGGTCTATAGTCTAGTCTATAGTCTAGTCTATAGTCTAGCCTATAGTCTAGTATATAGTCTAGTCTATAGTCTAGTCTATAGTCTAGTCTATAGTCTAGTCTATAGTCTAGTCTATATTCTAGTCTATATTCTAGTCTATATTCTAGTCTATAGTCTAGTCTATAGTCTAGTCTATAGTCTAGTCTATAGTCTAGTCTATAGTCTAGTCTATAGTCTAGTCTATAGTCAAGTCTATAGTCTAGTCTATATTCTAGTCTATATTCTAGTCTATAGTCTAGTCTATAGTCTAGTCTATAGTCTAGTCTATAGTCTAGTCTATAGTCTAGTCTATAGTCTAGTCTATAGTCTAGTCTATAGTCTAGTCTATAGTCTAGTCTATAGTCTAGTCTATAGTCTAGTCTATAGTCTAGTCTATAGTCTAGTCTATAGTCTAGTCTATAGTCTAGTCTATAGGCTAGTCTATAGGCTAGTCTATAGTCTAGTCTATAGTCTAGCTATAGTCTAGTCTGTAGTCTAGTCTATAGTCTAGTCTATAGTCTAGTCTATAGTCTAGTCTATAGTCTAGTCTATAGTCTAGTCTATAGTCTAGTCTATAGTCTAGTCTATAGTCTAGTCTATAGTCTAGTCTATAGTCTAATCTATAGTCTAGTCTATAGTCTAGTCTATAGTCTAGTCTATAGTCTAGTCTATAGTCTAGTCTATAGTCTAGTCTATAGTCTAGTCTATAGTCTAGTCTATAGTCTAGTCTATAGTCTAGTCTATAGTCTAGTCTATAGTCTAGTCTATAGTCTAGTCTATAGTCTAGTCTATAGTCTAGTCTATAGTCTAGTCTATAGTCTAGTCTATAGTCTAGTCTATAGTCTAGTCTATAGTCTAGTCTATAGTCTAGACTATAGTCTAGTCTATAGTCTAGTCTATAGTCTAGTCTAGTCTATAGTCTAGTCTATAGTCTAGTCTATAGTCTAGTCTATAGTCTAGTCTATAGTCTAGTCTATAGTCTAGTCTATAGTCTAGTCTATAGTCTAGTCTATAGTCTAGTCTATAGTCTAGTCTATAGTCTAGTCTATAGTCTAGTCTATAGTCTAGTCTATAGTCTAGTCTATAGTCTAGTCTATAGTCTAGTCTATAGTCTAGTCTATAGTCTAGTCTATAGTCTAGTCTATAGTCTAGTCTATAGTCTAGTCTATAGTCTAGTCTATAGTCTAGTCTATAGTCTAGTCTATAGTCTAGTCTATAGTCTAGTCTATAGTCTAGTCTATAGTCTAGTCTATAGTCTAGTCTATAGTCTAGTCTAAGTCTAGTCTATAGTCTAGTCTATAGTCTAGTCTATAGTCTAGTCTATAGTCTAATCTATAGTCTAGTCTATAGTCTAGTCATAGTCTAATCTAGTCTATAGTCTAGTCTATAGTCTAGTCTATAGTCTAGTCTATAGTCTAGTCTATAGTCTAGTCTATAGTCTAGTCTAGTCTAGTCTATAGTCTAGTCTATAGTCTAGTCTATAGTCTAGTCTATAGTCTAGTCTATAGTCTATTCTATAGTCTAGTCTATAGTCTAGTCTATAGTCTAGTCTATAGTCTAGTTTATAGTCTAGTCTATAGTCTAGTCTATAGTCTAGTCTATAGTCTAGTCTATAGTCTAGTCTATAGTCTAGTCTATAGTCTAGCCTATAGTCTAGTTTACAGTCTAGTCTATAGTCTAGTCTATAGTCTAGTTTATAGTCTACTCTATAGTCTATAGTATAGTCTATAATCTAGTCTAGTCTATAATCTAGTCTATAGTCTATATTCTAGTCTATAGTTTAGTCTATAGTCTAGTCTATAGTCTTGTCTATAGTCTAGTCTATAGTCTAGTCTATAGTCTAGTCTATAGTCTAGTCTATAGTCTAGTCTATAGTCTAGTCTATAGTTAGTCTATAGTAGTCTATAGTCTAGTCTATAGTCTAGTCTATAGTCTAGTCTATAGTCTAGTCTATAGTCTAGTCTATAGTCTAGTCTATAGTCTAGTCTATAGTCTAGCCTATAGTCTAGCCTATAGTCTAGTCTACAGTCTAGTCTATAGTCTACTCTATAGTCTAGTCTATAGTCTAGTCTATAGTTTATTCTATAGTCTAGTTTATAGTCTATTCTATAGTCTAGTCTATAGTCTAGTTTATAGTCTAGTCTATAGTCTAGTAATAAAGCACTTTTCTATTGAAAACGTTATCGTTTGTAGAGCAACATTTCTATAGAAAAAATGATCCTTCAAAGAACAACTTTTCAATAGAAAAGAAAACTTGATCTTTGTAGAACAATTTTTGTATAGAAGTTTGATTATTACTAAAATATCCTATTTTATAATTTCAAATTTGCAATTTATTTATCTGTAACAAATAACTTAATGTTTTTATTATTTCAAAATATTTATTTTTCATTTTAATCTAATCTTTTCATTTCATTTCGTTTTGTTTCCTTCTAGATGACGTGGAACGTTTAAAACCACAAAAACGCGGTTTCTTTCAATCAATTTTATGCTGTTGGCGGCGTAATCGTACAAAAACAAATCAAAATGGCACACCCATTGATGGTTCAACAACACCGCCACCATTACCGGACCAACAAAGGTACCTACTACCTCAGGTTAGGCATTCGGATATGCACAAAAAATGTATGGTTATCGATTTGGATGAAACATTAGTGCACAGTAGTTTTAAGGTGAGTTTCTCTTCTTAAATTATTTCCTACTACACTGACCCTTCTAAAGTTGTAAGAAAAGTTCTTAAAAGTTTTATTAAATGGTAGGAAGTCCCGATAAATGTGTTCTTTTTTTATATTTCAATTAATATTAAAATGTGTGCCATAGAAAACATTTTATTAACTTTACTTTGTGGTAGGTGTTGAAAATTGTAATAAATTTTATTTGTGTTGTAATTCTTTTGTGAGGGGAAGTTTATTTTAACACATGGTCATATAGAGTTTTTATATTCTTAATAAAATGATGTCATTTTTGAAGGTTGGAATTGGTGGAATTATATGAACCTTAAAAATCTTTATAATCGACTAAATTCTAAGAAAGTTTGGTCTACAATCTAGAACTAGAACAGAACTAGAACATAACTAGAACAGATCTAGAACAGAACTAGAACAGAACTGTTCTACTAGAACTAGAACAGAACTAACAGAACTAGAACAGAACTAGAACAGAACTAGAACAGAACTAGAACAGAACTAGAACGGAACTAGAACAGAACTAGAAACAGAACTAGAACAGAACTAGACAGAACTAGAACAGAACTAGAACAGAACTAGAAACAGAACTAGAAACAGAACTAGAACAGAACTAGAAAGAACTAGAACAGAATAGAACAGAACTAGAACAGAACTAGAACAAACTAGACGAACTAGAACAGAACTAAACGAACTAGAACAGAACTAGAACAGAACTAGAACAGAACTAGAACAGAACTAGAACAGAACTAGAACAGAACTAGAACAGAACTAGAACAGAACTAGAACAGAACTAGAACAGAACTAGAACAGAACTATAACAGAACTAGAACAGAACTAGAACAGAACTAGAACAGAACTAAACAGAACTAGAACAGAACTAGAACAGAACTAGAACATAACTAGAACAGAACTAGAACAGAACTAGAACAGAACTAGACAGAACTAGAACATAACTAGAACAGAACTAGAACAGAACTAGAACAGAACTAGAACAGAACTAGAACAGAACTAGAACAGAACTAGAACAGAACTAGAACGAAATAGAACAGAAACTAGAACATAACTGGAACTAGAACAGAACTGGAACTAGAACAGAACTAGAACAAACTAGAACAGAACTAGAACAGAACTAGAACAGAACTAAACAGAACTAGAACAGAACTAGAACAAACTAGAACAGACTAGAACAGAACTAGAACAGAACTAGAACAGAACTAGAACAGAACTAGAACAGAACTAGAACGAACTAGAACAGAACTATAACATAACTAGAACAGAACTAGAACAGAACTAGAACAGAACTAAACAGAACTATAACAGAACTATAACACTACTGAACAGAACTAGAACAGAACTATAACAAACTAGAACAGAACTAGAACATAACTAGACAGAACTAGAACAGAACTAGAACAGAACTAGAACAGAACTAGAACAGAACTATAACAGAACTAGAACAGAACTGGAACTAGAACAGAACTAGAACAGAACTAGAACAGAACTAGAACAGAACTAGAACAGAACTAGAACAGAACTAGAACAGAACTAGAACAGAACTAGAACAGACTAGAACAAACTAGAACAGAACTAGAACAGAACTAGAACAGAACTAGAACAGAACTAGAACAGAACTAGAACAGAACTAGAACAGAACTAGAACAGAACTAGAACAGAACTAGAACAGAACTAGAACAGAACTAGAACAGAACTAGAACAGAACTAGAACAGAACTAGAACAGAACTAGAACAGAACTAGAACAGAACTAGAACAGAACTAGAACAGAACTAGAACAGAACTAGAACAGAACTAGAACAGAACTAGAACAGAACTAGAACAGAACTAGAACAGAACTAGAACAGAACTAGAACAGAACTAGAACAGAACTAGAACAGAACTAGAACAGAACTAGAACAGAACTAGAACAGAACAGAACTAGAACAGAACTAGAACAGAACTAGAACAGAACTAGAACAGAACTAGAACAGAACTAGAACAGAACTAGAACAGAACTAGAACAGAACTAGAACAGAACTAGAACAGAACTAAAACAGAACTAGAACAGAATTAGTACAGAACTAGAACAGACCTAGAACTGAACTAGAACAGAACTAGAACAGAACTAGAACAGAACTAGAACAGAACTAGAACAGAACTAGAACATAACAAGAACAGAACTAGAACAGAACTATAGTCTATAGTCTAGCCTATAGTCCAGTCTATAGTCTAGCCTATAGTCAAGTCTATAGTCTAGTCTATAGTCTAGTCTATAGACTAGTCTATAGTCTAGTCTATAGTCTATAGTCTAGTCTATAGTCTAGTCTATAGTCTAGTCTATAGTCTAGTCTATAGTCTAGTCTATAGTCTAGTCTATAGTCTAGTCTATAGTCTAGTCTATAGTCTAGTCTATAGTCTAGTCTATAGTCTAGTCTATAGTCTAGTCTATAGTCTAGTCTATAGTCTAGTCTATAGTCTAGTCTATAGTCTAGTCTATAGTCTAGTCTATAGTCTAGTCTATAGTCTAGTCTATAGTCTAGTTTATAGTCTAGTCTATAGTCTAGTCTAGTCTATAGTTAAGTCTATAGTCTAGTCTATAGTCTAGTCTATAGTCTAGTCTATAGTCTAGTCTATAGTCTAGTCTATAGTCTAGTCTATTGTCTAGTCTATAGTCTAGTCTATAGTCTAGTCTATAGTCTAGTCGATAGTCTAGTCTATAGTCTACTCTATAGTCTAGTCTATAGTCTAGTCTATAGTCTAGTCTATAGTCTAGTCTATACTAGTCTAGTCTAGTCTATAGTCTAGTCTATAGTCTAGTTTATAGTCTAGTTTATAGTCCAGTCTATAGTCTACTCTATAGTCTAGTCTATAGTTAAGTCTATAGTCTAGTCTATAGTCTAGTCTATAGTCTAGTCTATAGTCTAGTCTATTGTCTAGTCCATCATATAGTTTAAAAGAAACAGTATTTATTATGATGTTGCAAAACTGTAACTTTCCATTGTCAAAGTTAAGTGAGCTGTAACAAACTAACTCAATAAACTTAAAATACCTTTTCTATTAACGCTTTCAAAGGGACATAAAAACCATTTAAAAACACCTATAAATATATTTACGATATTAGCGTATAATGTAATTTTTTCACATACTATTTGCTAAAGGACTCATTGGCTTTCGAGACACATAGAAATAAAATTAAAAAATTATATATAAAAATACCTTTGGTATGTATTAAGGTTTTTGTGGCTAATAAATACTCTCCCACACTGGATTTCCCTTTTTCGTTAAGTTAGTTGTTTACTCATGAAATTTCCTTGAATTCTATAAATACTACTCGTATGCTTTTGTGATGTTCAACACATTTTATGTTCATTAAATAGATGCGATGTGATGTGGTACCCTCTGAAATCTCTTTGAAGAGTAAGTTTGTACTCTTTCTACTTCCATGTAGCCTTTTGTCTGTCTATCTGTGTGTTGTTTTTCAAGGATATTGCAATTTACGTTTTATTTTAGCTTTTGCTTTTTCTTTTCTATTTAAAATAAACTAATTTATTTTTAAATACTTTGTTCTGAGGAAATTAAAAAGTTTTTACTGGGAAAAGCATACTTTAAGGTGTTGTATAATATAAAATGTGAAGCATACTTTTAGGTGTTACTTTTTGCTAATTTATTAAAGAACAGTTGTTCAATGTATAAAATTTTCATCAAAATTTAATTACTTTGATTGCAATTTATAAAAATATAATTTCAATCTCAACGCCTTTATATCCTGCATCCTAAAACCATTATTCATTTTTATTATTTTTTGGTTTATTCGAGTGAAATCAGCAAATCTATATTTAAATTTTCCATTATTCATAATGTTAAGTTCATTTTTCAAAATGAAAACAAAATAAAACAAACCTCAACATGTCCAAAATAAATTGTGCATCATGCTTGTCTTCTTGTTCATTTTTTCTTTTGCTACCCAAAATTTGTTGCATACTTTGAGGCTATTTATATATATATACACAATTTATTGCATACTCCAAGGGTATTGTTTGGTAAATTACTTTTACAGCATTTTTTTATTTTACTATTTTTGTTGTTATTGTTATCATTGTTATTGACGTTTCAGTTTTCTTTACTATTTTTTTGTTTGTGACCATTCAATTGCCAAAAAAAGCAGAGAACAGTAAAGTTTCATTGCAAAATTTTGACTAAAAATATGAACAACAACATTATGGTTGGAGTCATGAAAATTTTTTTGTGGGTTTTAATGTTGTTGAAGTGTTTCAATGTTAAATGTTGATCTGCTTAACGGTTTGTCTATTACTTGTCAGCATACACTGACTATATTGGTTTCCAAGGGAGCATAAAAACGTCTATATGTATTCGGTTTATTTTGGCCATTATCCATGAGTCATCCTTTTGGTGTGCTCTTTTTTTCTTTCTTTAACCACATACCAATGAAGCAAATAAATATGTTACAATTTATGATTCATTTTCATTTTTGGCAGAGGTTTGGTTTACAACTTTTCTTTAAAAAGTTTTCTTTTTTTAACTTTGTTTTATATTAATTTTTTGTTTCTTTTTCTTTTAGCCAATTCCAAATGCTGATTTTATTGTACCAGTTGAAATTGATGGCACCATTCATCAGGTGTACGTTTTAAAACGGCCCTATGTTGATGAATTCCTACGAAAGATGGGCGAATTATATGAATGTGTATTATTTACAGCATCACTAGCCAAATATGCAGATCCTGTTGCCGATCTGTTAGATAAGTAAGTAGATGTACTAATTTTTGCTTCAACTATAAACTAGACTATAGACGAGATAATAAACTAGACTATAGACTAAACTATTAAACTAGACTAGACTTTAGACTTGAATTCAGGACTAAACTAAAGACTAGACTTTAGACTTCTACTAATAAACTAGATTATATACTAGGTCTATAGGACTAGACTCTTAGTTCTAGACTATAGACTAGGACTATAAACTAGGCTATAAATTAGACTAAAGACTACACTATAAACTAGACTATATACTTAGGGGTTTTGCTATACTATATACCAGACTTATAGCCTAGGACTATAGACTAGACTATAGGACTAGACTATAGACTAGACTATAGACTAGGACTATAGAACTTAGACTATAGACTAGACTATAAGCCTAGACTAAGATAGACAGACTAATAGATAGACTATAGACTAGACTATAGACTAGACTATAGACTAGACTATAGGACTATAGACTAGACTATAGACTAGACTATAGACTAGACTATAGACTAGACTATAGACTAGACTATAGACTAGACTATAGACTAGACTATAGACTAGACTATAGACTAGACTATAGACTAGACTATAGACTAGACTATAGACTAGACTATAGACTAGACGACTAGACTATAGACTAGACTATAGACTAGACTATAGACTAGACTATAGACTAGACTATAGACTAGACTATAGACTAGACTATAGACTAGACTATAGACTAGACTATAGACTAGACTATAGACTAGACTATAGACTAGACTATAGACTAGACTATAGACTAGACTATAGACTAGACTATAGACTAGACTATAGACTAGACTATAGACTAGACTATAGACTAGACTATAGACTAGACTAGAGGCTAGACTATAGACTAACTATAGAATATACTATCGACTAGACTATAGACTAGACTATAGACTAGACTATAGACTAGACTATAGACTAGACTATAGACTAGACTATAGACTAGACTATACACTAGGCTAGACTAGACTATAGACTAGACTATAGACTAGACTATAGACTAGACTATAGACTAGACTATAGACTAGACTATAGACTAGACTATAGACTAGACTATAGACTAGACTATAGACTAGACTATAGACTAGACTATAGACTATAGACTAGACTAGACTATACTATAGACTAGACTATAGACTAGACTATAGACTAGACTATAGACTAGACTATAGACTAGACTATAGACTAGACTATAGACTAGACTATAGACTAGACTATAGACTAGACTATAGACTAGACTATAGACTAGACTATAGACTAGACTATAGACTAGACTATAGACTAGACTATAGACTAGACTATAGACTAGACTATAGACTAGACTATAGACTAGACTATAGACTAGACTATAGACTAGACTATAGACTAGACTATAGACTAGACTATAGACTAGACTATAGACTAGACTATAGACTAGACTATAGACTAGACTATAGACTAGACTATAGACTAGACTATAGACTAGACTATAGACTAGACTATAGACTAGACTATAGGACTAGACTATAGACTAGACTATAGACTAGACTATAGACTAGACTATAGACTAGACTATAGACTAGACTATAGACTAGACTATAGACTAGACATTAGACTAGACCTATAGACTAGACTATAGACTAGACTATACTAGACTAGACTATAGACTAGACTATAGACTAGACTATAGACTAGACTATAGACTAGACTATAGACTAGACTATAGACTAGACTATAGACTAGGCTATAGACTAGACTATAGACTAGACTATAGACTAGACTATAGACTAGACTAGAGGCTAGACTATAGACTAAACTATAGAATATACTATCGACTAGACTATAGACTAGACTATCGACTAGACTATAGACTAGACTATAGACTAGACCAGGGGTCGGCAAACTTTTGAGTCGGAAGAGCCAAAATTTACAGTTAACAAAACATAGGTTTTAAAAGAGCCACAAAATGTTTGTTTATTAAAACATTACAAATACGTTATGAATTCACTTCAAAAACATATTTTTTGTTTAATTATCTGCAAGAAAATTCTGCAAGGAATCTTTCTTATAGATTTTTGACTAAAAATACTTTTTGAGTTTTTGTGGGTCATTCGAATGCGTTTTTTAACACTTGTTATATAAAGATATGAAAGTTTATTAGAGTGGGGCGACAGTGATATCATTTAAAGGTATCTGCCATTAATTAGGCAGCAATCGAGATAAAATTTTGCATAAGTTTTTTTTATATGATGTATTGCGGACATCGAACCATAATTGACCAACACCAATATAAGGCCCTTTTAAGAAAATTACTCTAACGATCATAATTGACTTAACAGTAGCAGTATAGCGACGAAATTCGACATAAACAAGTTGTATAAGAACAAAAAATCTATCTTCTTAATTTTATTTTAACACTCATAACTGGCTTAATAATAGCAGTATTATGACGAAATTTAACACAAACAGGAATAAAAATCACTTTACCAAATTTGGTGATGATCGGCTCATAATTGATCCTATCCCCCATACTAGATCCCCATTAGAAAATGACCCTATCGCTCATAGAGTCCACTTTCGAAAACAAAGTTATGACATACAACATCCTAAAATACAAGTATGGTGATGAAAATCAACACAAACAAATTTTATAGGATCTAAAATCTCATTACCAAATTTTGTAAGAATGGGTCCATAATACGCTTTCTGGTCCCTTATTTATCTATAGCCAAAAATTTTATGTCAAAAATATATCAATCTTTCATAGAAAGCGTGCAAAAAAATATTAAATTCTTTAAAAAAGATTAAAGTCTTCAAATAGACCAAGTTTTTAGTATTTAAGTGTATCCAAACTCTCCACATTATTAATTAATTACTATATCTTAAATTTCCAAAAATATGTTTTAATTCGAAAAACGCGAAAATTTCGGAATGTATGATCATGTTTTACATCTTATTTAATGGCACTTCGTAGGAGCGCTGATATGATACCCCATTTGTTTATAGGAACTTTTCAATTAACACTTTAAAGAATCCAACATTTTCTTACAATATTAACTTGTACATGGAACAAATTCAATGGGAGTGATAGGTTTATATGGCTTTAAAAAGTTTGGATCATAACTAGTTTAAAATTTCAAAAATGACTCTAAATTTTCATTTGTTAGCTGACTTTTTACCTAACTCTTCCAACTTGCTTTTAAACTTTGCGTTTCTAGAGATCCAATACAAATTCCAAATGGCTAAATGAGGATTTACTCTCAAATGTGTAATTGTAACGGCAAATAAAAGGAAATGAGCGAACTAGTTGTGTTGCTTTCTTTCATTTTCACTCAAAAAGTATATGTTTTTGTTTCGCTCATGTACAGAACGATTAAGCAAAGTTAAAAAGTTGTGTATATTGTAGAAACGTTTGCGAATTGTTTTGTTAGTTTTAATACACTGCTCGTTAATCGATTCGGAAAGATTTTAGAATATATAAATATTTTTTTTACAAAATAAATAATATATGTGTATGAAACTAAAGAGCCATAACTCCACATCCAAAGAGCCGCATTTGGCTCGCGAGCCGTAGTTTGCCGACCTCTGGACTAGACTATAGACTAGACTATACACTAGGCTATAGACTAGACTATAGACTAGACTATAGACTAGACTATAGACTAGACTATAGACTAGACTATAGACTAGACTATAGACTAGACTATAGACTAGACTATAGACTAGACTATAGACTAGACTATAGACTAGACTATAGACTAGACTATAGACTAGACTATAGACTAGACTATAGACTAGACTATAGACTAGACTATAGACTAGACTATAGACTAGACTATAGACTAGACTATAGACTAGACTATAAACTAGACTATAGACTAGACTATAGACTAGACTATAGACTAGACTATAGACTAGACTATAGACTATAGACTAGACTATAGACTAGACTATAGACTAGACTAGACTAGACTGACTAGACTATAGACTAGACTATAGACTAGACTATAGACTAGACTATAGACTAGACTATAGACTAGACTATAGACTAGACTATAGACTAGACTATAGACTAGACTATAGACTAGACTATAGACTAGACTATAGACTAGACTATAGACTAGACTATAGACTAGACTATAGACTAGACTATAGACTAGACTATAGACTAGACTATAGACTAGACTATAGACTAGACTATAGACTAGACTATAGACTAGACTAGACTATAGACTAGACTATAGACTAGACTATAGACTAGACTATAGACTAGACTATAGACTAGACTATAGACTAGACTACAGGCTAGACTAGACTATAGGCTAGACTAGACTATAGGCTAGACTAGACTATAGACTAGACTAGAGGCTAAACTATAGACTAAACTATAGAATATACTATCGACTAGACTATAGACTAGACTATCGACTAGACTATAAACTAGACTATAGACTAGACCAGCGGTTCCCACCGTTTTTTACTTCGCGGACCCCTTGAGGAATTTATTTAATTTCACGGACCCCCATACATATTTTGATATCTTATTGTTATAAATAACACTGTGATACAAAAGTGAAGAAAAATAAAATGCAGGCGTTCTCATATACCAATTCTATTTCGTTATAGTCCATAGAGTACGAATATATTTTTAGTTTTCCCCTATCACTTCGTTAACTTACTTTTTAAGAGCAAAAGATGCGAAAAAGAGCCATTTTTGAAGTTTTAAATTTGAAAAATCATAAGTTTAGTAGTAGTTTTCATCCGATTTTCAAATCCGATATTTTTTTTTAATGATACAAGTGTTGCCGTTTAAGTAAAGAAACTCACACTTTTTTAAAAAAATTTCATTTTCATCATGCTCTACTTTGACCTTGAGGCAGTGAGTTCATCTTTTATTCCTTTCCTGAAGAATCACATAAAGGAAGGTTTCTAAAACTTGTTATTTCATAAAAATCTATGAAAAACTGGATGATTTATGCCAATTTTTC